GCTTTGACCTCAGTAGTCATGAAATCCTTTGAGAGAGACTGGTGCTCACTAATATGAAGAACATCACAGATCCTCTGCTAGACCCCCTGCAGTTTGCATACCGGGCAAACAGGTCAGTGGACGACACAGTGAACATGGGACCTCATCTTATTCTCCAACAGCTTGAACACCCAAGAACTCAGGCAAGCATTCTGTTCTTGGACTTCAGTTCAGCCTTTAATACGATCATCCCAGGACAGCTACACAACAAACTGGTCCAACTCAGCATGCCAACCCCCACCTGCCAGTGGATCACCAGCTTCCTCACTGGCAGAGAGCAGCAGGTGAGGTTGGCAAAGTTCACCTCAAAAACCCAGATCATCAGTACAGGCGCTCCACAGGGTTGTGTTCTCTCACCATTGCTCTTCTCACTGTACACGAACAACTGTACCTCCACGGACCCCTCAGTGAAAATCTTGAAGTTTGCAGATGATACTACAGTCATTGGTCTCATTCGTGATGGTGACGAGTCTGCTTACAGACGGGTGGCTGATCAGGTGGTCTTTTGGAGCAGCTACAACCACCTGGTGCTGCATACAGAGAAAACAGTGGAGATGATAGTAGACTTAAGGAGGAGCCCTCCGACCCTGCCAGTGAAGGCAGTAAAGTCCTGCAAGGTCCTGGGCACAACAATCACCAGGGGCCTGAAGTGGGACAGCAACATCAGCTCCATCATCAAGAGAGCCCAGCAGAGGATGTACCTCCTACGTCAGCTGAGGAAGTTCAACCTGCCCCAGGAGCCGATGGTGCGGTTCTACACAGCCATCATAGAATCGGTCATCACCACGTCCATCACAGTGTGGGGTAGCTCAGCCACCAAGCATGACCTCCACAGACTGCAGCACATCGTCAGGTCTGCAGAGAGGACAATTGGGGTTAAGCTGCCCACACTGCTGGAACTGAACTCCTTGAACAGTTAAAATATTACACAAACAATATTCAAACTGCACTTCTTAAATATATTGGTCTATAGTTTATATGGTGTATATAGTAATACTCAACATTCCATCCTCTGTAACTACTGTCTCAGACCAGCGTTTTCTGCACCTCACTTACCTGCCTTATTACCCCCATTTATCTGACTGTTACCTTACTTATCCCTTTTTTTTGCCACTATACATTCTTTAACTGCTGCTGCACTCAGCACTTCAATATATTACATATACTTGGCACAATGCATGGTTTAAAGGTGTGTGTGTGTGTGTGTGTGTGTGTGTGTGTGTGTGTGTGTGTGTGTGTGTGTGACTGTGTGGTAGGAATGCATGTTCTATTTTATTTCTTTTTTTTTATTCTTATTTTATTTACTACTGTAAAATGTTTGTTGGATACTGTGCACTGTGAGTTCCTGTAACCAAAACCAAATTCCTTGGCCAATACCTCTCTCAATACCTGGCCAATAAAGCTTGATTCTGATCCACTCCTTGCTGTCTCCTCCTCCACTTCTGCCATGAGTGGCCACTTGTGCAAAATAGGCGTGGCGTGCATCTGAGTGGTGAATCATGTGAATCCAAAAAAAAACAAAAAAACAAGAATTGAAATAGGGCCTGTGTTAGCCACTGTTACACAAGTCAGGAAGCTGATGAGATAGTGTACATGAGAAAGTTGGTTAAGAGTAATAATGCTCAGCATGCTTGCATAGTTACTACTGCAAATATATTTATTATGTATTTTTGTATTGACCTTCAACGCTGCTCAGCACTGCTGAAACAGCCAGGATAGCAGGCAGGTCACTACTACTGGGGGCAAAGAGTGCTCCCTCAGCCGCTCTCCGTCACCCACCATGCTGTCGACACCAGCGAGAGTGCTGCTCGTTTGTGCTGAAGCCCCAACTCTCTGCCACAGCCACCAGCGCCTGCTTAATGCTGGCAGGCCACGGTCAACACGGCCAGGCTGCTAAGTTGCTTCGCTAGCAGGTCCTTACCAGCTGCTATCCTCCATTTGGGCTCTGCTGCTGAACCTCACCACACTGCTTCTTCTTTCACAGCCCTTTGCTGGGCTTGGTCTTCTCCCTTTTTCTGTCCCTCCTGTGACACTAGTGTAATGTCAGCGAAACACTTCGAAATTAAACACAGAAAATAATAACCTGCTAAAGTTTCTCCATAGGCTGAATAAAAAACTGTACTGAAAAGGTCTAAATGTAGGTATTGTGATATAAACGGAGTCTGTTCTACAGTTTCTCATTAGGCTGAATGAATAACTGACTCTAAATGTATGTATTGTGGTATAAACTGAGTCTGTTCTACAGTTTCTCATTAGGCTGAATGAATATCTGACTCTAAATGTAGGTATTGTGATATAAACTGAGTCTGCTCTACAGTTTCTCATTAGGCTGAATGAATAACCGACTCTAAATGTAGGTATTGTGATATAAACGGAGTCTGTTCTACAGTTTCTCATTAGGTTGAATGAAACTATTGAAAACATTTATTGAAAACCTTTGAATGGTAGTGTGTAATATCATATCATTTAAAATGAGTTGGTGAAAATATATGTTCTGTTTTCTGCTGTGATCAGGTCAGAAGGAACCATGTGGTTCAGATGTGGAGTCCTGTCACTGATCATTCTGCTGTTTATTCCAGGTAGGATTATTCTGCTTTTACTGAACTTCAGTGTGTCGTCTAGTGTGTGAAGTGTAGGGTAACACAGAGTAAGGCGCCCTCCCTTATTTTCTCTTCTGATCAAATGATGTCACCAAATCTAATATTGAGACTTTTACTGAATGGCTTTGGATCACTGTATTCCTGGGATTTATTCCCCCAGAAACATTTTGAGGTCAGGTGATCATTTTTTTTGTTTTTTGGAAAAAAATGATCCATGAATTTATGTTAAGTTGTACAGGATAATTTGTTAAAAATATGTGAACACTAAGAAGAAGAAGTAGAAAACCATTAGTGAACTTATATTACAAAATTAATACAATGACAGTAACAAAATGAAGAAAAAACAAGAATTTAATGCACACGTTTTAATTTTTGAAGGTTTTCTGAAATCAACACAGGGTCACAATTCTATGTTCATACACCCACATATATTACTACGGCTTCTTCAAGCCCACATAAAATTGGCTTGTTTGACAGCACTTATTGGGTTGACCAACACACAGTACAATAGAAAAGTCCAAGGAGCTCAGTGCAGATCTTAAAGATTACTGTAGTTTGCACACGTCAAGAATGTCTCTTAGAGCCATTTCTAAAGAACTGCAGATTTCAAGATTGAGTTCGAATGGTTATGCATAAGTGTAAGTTTTTGGGAGGTGTAGCCATATTGCCAAGGTCTGGAAGAAGACCCAAACTGTCACCCTCAGCTGAGAGAAAACTGGTTTGAATGGTCAGGAACAACCCAAGAACAACCAAGGCACAGGCCTGCCATGAACTGGAAGCTGCTGGAACACCAGTGTCACTGTCTAGAGTCTAACAAGTTTTACATCACCATGGACTGAGAGGCTGCTGTCTAAGAAAGAAGCTCACTGCTCCAAACCTGACACCTTAAATTCTCAACTAAAGTTTGTAGCTGACCACATGGAGAAAAAAAAGCCTTCTGGAGGACAGTTTTATGGTTAGATGAAACAAAGATTCAGTTGTTTGGCCACAGTGACTAGAGGTAAGTTTGGAGAGGTAAAGGTAGGCATTTAACCCCAAGAACACTCTACCCTCTGTTAAGCATGGTGGTGGTAGCATCATGCTCCGGAGCTGCTTTGTTGACAGTGGACCTGGTACACTGCACAAAGTGTAAAATGTAATGAAGGAAGACCAACTCACAATTCTTCTGCCCAACCTCAGAAGCATTCACGAAAGGCCCTGTTGTCATTTTGCAAAAATTGTGTGAGTGACTAGTCCAACAGTTTAAGTGTCACTATGTCTCCCCACTAAATATGCATAAATACAAACCCTGACAATGACACGTTAAGACTCTACTATGCAAAGCAGAAGCCATATGTAAACAACATCTAGAAACACTGCTGACTTCTCTGGGCTAAAGCTTGTTTACAGCCGCAAAGTTCAAAAGCCAGCATCTGTCATGGTATGGGGGTGTGTTAGTAGATAATCTGCACATCTGTGAAGGCACCATTAAAGCTGAGTACTACGTACACATTTTGGAGCAACATATACTGCCATCTAGGGAACGTTTTTTGCAGGGTACACATGCTGAATGTGACTTGGTGTTGTTTTGCTGAAACAAACAGTCTATCACTAAAGCATACCTTTTATGGGTGTATCCCGATAAAAATGTGCTGTACAATGTAGAAATAACTCAATATCAGAATTAGAATAATTAATATACTAAACTGAGTTTAGAGCTAATCAACGACTTGTTAATCTAGGTTTTATTTTAAATTGAGTTGTGTTGCACCACACAATTTTAAACATAGATTAACAAACTTGCAATCAAAGCCTAAATCTGCAATTAAAACCATGACCTGCCATAATTTTGATTGTTCCGCCATGATGGATTCGTCAGTAAATAAACATCAGCAACATCTCTCTTTACACTGGTCACTGTCTATAGGTTCCCTTTTTCCATTTTGAGTGAAAACTAGCATACAAAACTAGCATCAAAAACAGCCAGAGGGAATTCAGACATTTAAACAGCCCAGTATTAGACCTGGAGGCTCTGCGTCGTATTAAGGAGCTGTGTAGGCAGCACCGAAAAGACTGTTTAAATAATATGAACTACAAAACATGCTGATACCTTTAATCAAAATATTTTAAATACGAACACTCTGTATGCTATTCTGTTAAGTAACCACTGAAATTGGAAGTTTAAATTTAATCCCTGAATTAAGTATAAATCTGTGTTTAACGTAATGGTGGAACAAGATTAAGATTATAAATAAACCTTCAACCGAAGTTTAAGCTTAATCCTTGTTGGTGCAACCCACCCAAAGTCATTAGAGTCTGTGAGGAGTTTAGACTGATTAGATCTATGTTTCAGTTTCAGGTTCTCTGGGTCAGAAAGTGACCATGTCCTGCAGTCCTCAGACTGTCTGCGCTCTGAGAGAATCAGCAGTGAACCTGATCTGCTCTTATTCAACCACCACCAAACCTCAGCAAAGCTTCTGGTTCAGCCCCAAACTAAAGGCTAAATGGAGGAATGAGGCAGATCCAGAGGATTTAGCTTTAGACTCAGACTACGCAGGACGAGTGAGATACACTGAGACTGGGTCCAGCTCTACTCTCACAATAACAGACCTGAGAGAGAGAGACTCAGGAGAATATCAGCTCATGATCATCACAGGAGTAGGAGAGAGATCTCTCAGCTCAGCAGTCAGACTAACAGTTTCAGGTAATACAGCTTAACTAGAACATACAACACTATAATCTGCTGCTCAGTCACTTTAACTATTGTGTTTGTTCATGACATTGAAATATTTGTATAAGGTATTTGCTTGATCATTTATTTACAATTTCAGTTCTATGACATCATACAGTATATTCTGACATATATGTATTTCATACAGTCATATGCAAAACTTATAGGTGTAAATGTATTAACATATCCACTACAAAGAACATGCCTCTGCACATTTTAATACACAATTGCTTTTGCTGAAATTCATATTTTGGGAAAAACACACAAAACGTGGCCTGTGCAAAAGATACTGTTGGTCCTAAAACGCCAATACACAGCTACAGCTATATTAATGGTTTCTACCGTCAACCATCACATTCTCATACACAATTGCTAAAGTACATATTTTTCTACATTTATTTATTCTTATTTTTAGTTGTTGCATTATTCAAATTTGTTCTGACTGTGAGAATAAAACCTTCTGTATTTCATTTAGCCTTGGATATCACATTATATATATATTATAATATGTTAAACTCAGCAAATAAATAGAAATTGTGCAGAAGTGTGTTCTCTGCAGAGGATGTCTTCACTTATTTTCACATTAAAAAAAACAAAAAAAAACAAAACATTGTCACCTGTCACCTTAGCCGTCTGAGATAATGACATTTACAGCTGTTTACCTGGGTAGTAAACATTAATTTGTGGAAAGAAAGGGAAAACCGGTCCTCCTCTGGTCCACACCGGATAGCAAAACAATAACACAACAAGAAGAATATGAACAGAGGATAGGATTTTACAACTAATATACAATATTGAATACAGAGAGAAATTAAAAGAAACCTGCCTGTCACTGATGGACCTCTAACAGTAGTCCATGATGACCGATGAGTGCTGTTAGAGGCCTATCAGAATAACAATGAGAAACAGATCTATGAAAATCAGTCACTGTTACAGGTGAAAACCAGTGACTGCTGTTAAGAGCGAATCACAGTGAAAACTGTGAACTACTGTTAAAAGTGTATGATTATGACCTGTTAGTATGAATATGAGAACAGTTTAGTGTATTGTGAGGCAGATTAATTAAATACTTTGCCTGTAATTAAATAGTTCAAGTCTGGGTATTAACCATTTCCAAAGCTCTCCTTGAGGCAGTCTGTTATTTACCGTTACTATCCAGTACCTACTCAATTCTTTATTAAATTAAATCAGGTGATACTGAAGGAACAGAACAAATATATGCAGTAGTTAAAGTATTTAGTCTTTATTTGTATTTATTGTGATGTTATTTAGTGTTATACTGAGAAAAATAAAGACCTACTGTCAAGATAAATAGTTTTAAACCATTGTCATGGGTGCGTAACACCTTTGCTCAAAACTGTATATCAGCACTGCTGTAAGAAAACTCCTGCTTTGACGTCAGCTGCTCTTTACATTGTGTGAACATTTCATAATAAATGGACCAACAGAATTCATCCAAAATTACTTAAAAATCCATTACATTAACAGACACTGAAGACAGTACAAATGTGTGTGTGTGTGTTTGTGTGTGTGTGTGTGTGTGTGTGTATGTGTATATATATATATATATAATTTCTTCTGTATGTATAACTTATTTCTGCTCAGACCTGCAGGTGAGGGTGAGCCCTGACGCTATAAATCAGACAAAACTGAGAATGACCTGCAGCACTTCCTGCAATTTGACCTCTGAAACTTCTTACTACTGGTCTAAAAATGGACAAAGAGTGGGCAGTTCAAAGAGCCGGAGTGCTTTGGTTCCTTCCAGTCATCCTGGCAGTTTACTCCTGCTCTGTTATCGCAAACAGCCATGATGAAATCTATTCCAGCGCAGTGTGTGAGTATGAGAGCCATTTATAACTTTATGTTTATGAACCGATTCAAATAAAAAAGTAATGTTTTACTTTTACAGGTGTTTTTGATGAGAACTGTTGGAATGTGAGGTACTCAGACAGAAGACTGTGTGTTGTGGAGGGATCATCAGTGGACTTTCTCTGCACTTACTCACATCCCAGTCATCTCACAGTTAATGACACATTCTGGCATTACGAGCCTAAAGTGAACCCGAAGGATCTGAGTCTGGATGACCGGTTTGCTGGTCGAGTAGAGTTTCTCGGGGATAAAGAGGGAAACTGCACTCTGAGAATGAGAGACGTGAGAAAGAACGACTCTGGAGAATATCACTTTCGATTTATTACTAACACTGGAGGAGGGCGATTCTCTGGTAAACCTGGAGTCATTCTGCATGTTACAGGTACCTCTCCTTACCTATTTGTGTCCAAGTTTGATTTTTGCTGGATCTGCTGTACACTGTGGGCTTAGAATTTTAAAGTTTTATGTGAATTCACCGCAGATTTGAGAAATTGAGAATAGAATTAACATTCTTATTTTAATAAAGCCACTGAACCTTAAAATCCCAGGATATTCAGAAATATCTTTTTTTCTGGGATGGAATAAACACAGATGGAACCTCTTAATTCTGAAAGCTCTTAATGTGATTGCACACCAGACATGACACGTCAGCAATATGTAAGCGCAGTGTAAGTAAAGTCAAATACAGGGCGTCCAATCCACACTGTCTCCAACTCAACTCCGCCACATCACAGCTTCAGGTAGGAATATCAGTTCTATTTTCTCCTTTTCTCTAATTAATCAGTATCAGAGAGGAGTGTAGTCTTCACAGCTCTGCAACGACTAGACGCTACTGAAAGTGCAAGTGATTTAATGTGCAAGTGAAAAAAATAAACATCACATATTAAAATAAGCAGGACTTTAATAACTATAACTGTGTTCCCATCATCCCAATATACTTACAATATAATCACTATATATATATATATATATATATATGTGTGTGTATATAAAAAAAAAAAAAATTGAATTTGATATGTTTTGTTCTCTAATTTTATGTATGTTGCCAAGAAAATGAAAAGCACATTCTGTCTTTATTTAGTTTATTTTTATTTTATTATTATTATTATTACTTTTAGCATTCCTTTTAAAAGTGCTCATTTCCTCATCAGTGCAACTCTGACTCTCCACCATGCTGCCTAGGCTTCTTATAAGAGGCACGCAATCCAAAATCTATCACATGACACTAAATTTATGCATAAATGTGTAATTCTTCCCAACAAAAAAGGAGTTTCATATGTAGACATTAGGACATTTCAATTATCAATAAACACCTATTCTGCTAAAATTCAATGGAAAAAAAGTTTTATCAACATTCATTAAATATTAGCAAGAAAGTCTGCTTCTATAGCTTACATCGACAAACTTTTCGAAGGATTAAAATGTTTTAATAAAAAACATCATTTGAACTGAAACTTTTGCACTGGTTAAAATAGAGGTTTTCTGTTTCATCAGATGAATGAATAAAAACTCTTCAGAAATGCTTTTGGTGTAAATTAGCATTGATTGTTTTTAGAATTAAGGCTCCATCTGCTAACAAACCAAAACTGCAATAGAACCTCACCACAATGATTCAGATACTCCCATCTTAACATTCAAAATGTTTGAAATGTAGGTAAGTATATACACTGTTAGAAATAAAGGTTCTGTGCAGGTACATATTTTTTTGTTCCCTCAAATGTACAACAGTGGTTTTAAGCTCCAATATTGTAGAATTGTGAGAATTATCAAGAGATAACCACCTCAGATTAAATTCATAGTGTACAAATATATGCTATAAAACCCTGTATATAAATACAATACATAAATAATTGAGAATAAGAATAAACAAAAAAACAAAGCTCAAAAATAACTACAAATGAAAGAAGCTCAACATGGAAACTAGAAAATGTAAGTCCACGATATGTTAGAATATAAAAAATGCCAGAGTGTCTATTTTTGCTTGATCAGACCTTCAGGTGAGAGTGAGTCCCAGCAGTCCATCAGAAGGACAGACAGTAACACTGACCTGTAGCTCCACCTGCACTCTGCCCAACAACCCCACTTACATGTGGTACAAGAACAGAGAGCCTGTAACCAACAAACCCACCAAATACAACAAGCTCTACTTGGAGTCAGCGAGCAGTGAAGATATACACCTGTATTCTTGTGCTTTAGGAAGCAGAGGTAGGTCTACGTGAGTTTAGAGTTGGGCAGAATACTATAAAAATGTAGATGTTTTATGTAAGTGTATATGTATGCTGTAGTGATGACTGAATACTGAGTACAATGACATAAATGTATGCAATAACACATTCAATACATGTAAAAGTAACAAACTGAATATAGTAAGAATACAGTAAGAATACATTTAGAATACATTGTGATCAGGCGCATGGGAACACACTTGTTGAAATTTAGATTTAATTCACACTGCTACTGATACACTGCTGTCTGACATTTGTTGTTTTGGGGTATCTATAACATGGTAGTGCAAAAAATCTAGAGCAATATGTAATGTATATTAATATGTAATGAAGTTTAAAATGTTGGATGATCTGTTATCACTCTGGAACGGTTCTAAAAAAATAAAAGTTAGTCTGGAGCTCTGCAAAACCATACTATGCAAATTGAAAATCCATAATCACAAGGAAACGAGGCAAATAGGGTCAGAATACTGAATAATGCAAGATTAGAATTACTATACTTTAAGCAAAACTTTGCAAAGTAACACAGGCCAAAATAAGACAGGCGTATGTGATCATTACTGACAAAGGGTCACTAACAATTACTCAGTGATGTGTTTAACTCACAGTGCTATGTCCAATTACATTTTGATGTTGCCAGAAAAAACGTTTCTCAGCTTTTCACCTGCTGTAATTGATTGGGTTTGTTTCTGAAGGTAAAGTGCTAAAGCTCGTCACTGTGACAGTGACCGTCTCTCTGACCATCTCTCTGGCTGTAATACTCATCATTGGATCAGTGTTGATGTGGTTTGTGATCAGGAGGAAGAGAGCAGCAGAGCGAGACACGGATGTCCAGGTACTGAAATGTTTTTCTTTCTCTTTTTATGAACATAAAGATAATGTAAGGCTTGTGAATAAAGACTGAAACTGTGTTCTGCTGATCTCTATCTGAAAGGCTCCGAAGCCTGAAGACGATACATACACAGCTCTGAACCCAGTTACCATGTCCTCAGATTACGACACTCTGACAGTAAGTCCAGTGTTTATGTGTGTGTGTGTGTGTGTGTGTGTGTGTGTGTGTGTGTGTGTGTAATTATTACTATGCAGAGTGTTCAGATCCATGTTTTTCCTGTAGAATGTTACAGGAGCTCCCAGTGACACATACTCAACTCTCAACCCTGCAACCATTGCGTCTGATTATGACACACTGAGAGTAAGTCTGCAGTATTTCCTAAACTATGGGTTGTAGATGTTTGCCACATGTAGGAAAATGTGTGTCAATACATTTTGCCCATTTTAGAATTTTAAGATTACTAAGATCTTTTCACACGTTTTGATTTGCCAAAGTACAGTTTTTATTGATGAATGAGTTTTTTCTATATTAACATTGTTTTTCACATTGCATCTGAGATTAAGCAACTGACAGGATGTATACAGTTTTTAAATGGAGCCAGACGTATTTCCCATGCTGCACAATGTGTTAATAAACAGGCACACCAATCAGAGCTATATCGTCATGGTTACTTCTGTGTTTTATCGTTTTTAATACTTAAAGCTACAAGCAGAAGCAGTGCCTCATAAGCTTGTGAGATTGTGTGCAATATAATATTAAACCTTGAAAAGACTAACTCATTCTTAGTTTTGGAGTTCTCAGTTTAGTTTGGTTGTTTTGCTATAAGTTTAATAAATTTATTTTACAGCCTATCAGTTGCTCCTTGTTAATAATGAAACTGCTAATGCTCACTGTGAAGTCAGCCTATAGATACTGTTATTGTAGTTGAAGTTGAAAGTGGAAGAAGGAAGAACTACTGACAGCTAGTTAGTTTTTAAGACTTTTTTTAAAACAAATCACTACTACCCTATATAATGTTTTTTCTAACACACACACACACACACACACACACACACACACACACATATATATATATATATATATATATATATATATATATATATATATATATATACACACACCGGCTCTCGTAGTGACACGTGTTGAATCCAGTATTGTTATTATGAGACTCTCAGGGTAAGTGTGCAGCGTGTAAATTCATAATTCAGACTTTTGTTATCTGGAGCTCATTCAGTCAACGTTCTTTTCCTTTCTGTATTGACAGAATAACCCAGCAGAGACTGTATGAAAAGTCTGCATTTGAAGATCCTTGCAGATATTCTGGGTACTTTGTATCGCTTTAGATTCCACTGTTTGTATGTTTTGTAAGTCACCCTTGATAAGAGTGTCTCCTAAATGAATGTATTTAAATGTAATATTGATAAATAATAATTTCATTAGATAAGATCATGTGCTTTCTCAGCTATGAACTACATAATGAGAAATGTCAAGGAGAGGAAATGAGTAGAGAAGGCTTTGGTTAATCTCATCACATTTACTAATGTCACCATAAAAAATAATAACTCATAATAGCCTTGATTTACTAAACTCTCCAGACGCACTCAAGGCAGCCATTTAGGTTTCCATGGAATTAATTCATACATTTTGTTTTAACTGAAATAAGTTATATTCCAACTGGAATGTTAGTCAAACAATCAGGTGGAGACTCAAAGATGTATTCAGTGTCCAATATTCAGTGTCCAGTTTTGAAATAGCTGTGCAGTTTAGCTTTGTTGAATGTAATGTGTTTCAGTTTTTTTCAGTCCTTTTTAGTAAGAGTTTCTTGTTCTTTTGTCTTCCTTTTGTAGGATTGAAATGATGAAAGGTTGTTCATTTTTTGTTGTAATTTGAAAATATTAGCTGTAACATTACATCAAAATTTCATGACAAATGAACCAACAGAAATGCTCCAAAATTATTTAGAATAGAACATCTTTACATTAATTTAAACTATATGGCTAAAAGTATGTGGACACCCCTCTTGATTGAGTTCAGGCGTTTCAGCTACACTCATTGCTAACAGGTGTATAAAACTGTATCATACTGAATCATACTGAAGAGCTCAGTGACTTTAAATGTGACACTGTCATAGGATGCCACCTTTGCCACAAGTCAGCTCTGCTGTCAATTATTATTGTGAAATGGAACAGGAGAAACAACAGCTCAGCTACGAAGCGCTAGACCACTCAAACTCTCAGAGCAGGGCTGCCGAGTGTTGAAGCGAGCAGCACATAAAAATCTCCCATCCTACATCCCATCCATCACTACAGGGTTCAAAGCTGTATCCCGCTGAACACCGTTTGGATGAACCTGAATGTAAAGACAGACCGTCTCGTCCTTTTGACTGAATTCCCACAGATAGGCTCCAAAATCTTGCTGAAAGCTTCACAGAGGAGTGGAGGCTGTTACAGTCGCAAAAGGGGGCCAACTCCATAGTAATGCCCAAAGTTTTAAAATGGGATGTCCAACAAGCTCGTGTAGGTGTGATGATCAGGTGTCCATATACTTTTGGCCATATACTGTATACTGAAAGTTGAGGCAGGTGTTCCTTCTGCTGTAAAATTTTTCTGCTAAATCTTTTTTTGTCGATACAAGGTTTTTAGTCCTAAAACGCCAAAACACAGCTACAGCTATATTAATGGTTTCTACTGTGGATTCCGTCAACCATCACATTCTCATACACAATTGCTAAAGTACATATTTTTCTACATTTATTTATTCTTATTTTTAGTTGTTGCATTATTCAAATTTGTTCTGACTGTGAGAATAAAACCTTCTGTATTTCATTTAGCCTTGGATATCACATTATATATATATTATAATATGTTAAACTCAGCAAATAAATAGAAATTGTGCAGAAGTGTGTTCTCTGCAGAGGATGTCTTCACTTATTTTCACATTATCAACAAAACATTGTCACCTGTCACCTTAGCCGTCTGAGATAATGACATTTACAGCTGTTTACCTGGGTAGTAAACATTAATTTGTGGAAAGAAACACTAACATTTAAACGCATATAAAATAAATAAACAATCCAATGTGATTGTTCTATGTGAGTTTGTTATATTAAGTCAAGTCAAGGTTTATACAGCACTTTTTACAAGCAGCTTTACAGAAAATCCAAGTCCAGTTAGTAAGTCAAGGGTAACTGGCAAGGAAAACTCCCTAAGTGCAAGAGGAAGAACCACTGAGAGGAACCAAGAACCCAAAGGGAAACCCAGTCCTCCTCTGGTCCACACCGGACAGCAAAACAATAACACAACAAGAAGAATATGAACAGAGGATAGGATTTTACAACTAATATACAATATTGGATACAGAGAGAAATTAAAAAGAAACCTGCCTGTCACTGATGGGCCTCTAACAGTAGTCCATGATGACCGATGAGTGCTGTTAGAGGCCTATCAGAATAACAATGAGAAACAGATCTATGAAAATCAGTCACTGTTACAGGTGAAAACCAGTAACTGCTGTTAAGAGCGAATCACAGTGAAAACTGTGAACTACTGTTAAAAGTGTATGATTATGACCTGTTAGTATGAATATGAGAACAGTTTAGTGTATTGTGAGGCAGATTAATTAAATACTTTGCCTGTAATTAAATAGTTCAAGTCTGAGTATTAACCATTTCCAAAGCTCTGCTTGAGGCAGTCTGTTATTTACCGTTACTATCCAGTACCTAGTTTATCTACTCAATTCTTTATTAAATTACTACTTATTAAAGACCTACTGTCAAGATAAATAGTTTTAAACCATTGTCATGGGCGCATAACACCTTCGCTCAAAACTGTATATCAGCACTGCTGTGAGAAAACTCCTGCTTTGACGTCAGCTGCTCTTTACATTGTGTGAACATTTCATAATAAATGGACCAACAGAATTCATCCAAAATTACTTGAAATAAAATTCCATTACATTAACAGACACTGAAGTTGAGAACTTTTTTTTCCATTCTCTTATAATGTTGCCATTTTGGTGTGTGTGTGTGTGTGTGTATGTGTGTGTGTGTGTGTGTATGTATGTGTATATATATATATATATATATATATATATATATATATATATCTTCATATTTTTGCTGTATGTATAACTTATTTCTGCTCAGACCTCCAGGTGAGGGTGAGCCCTGACGCTATAAATCAGACAAAACTGAGAATGACCTGCAGAACTTCCTGCAATTTGACCTCTGAAACTTCTTACTACTGGTCTAAAAATGGACAAAGAGTGGGCAGGTCACAGAGCCGGAGTGCTTTGGTTCCATC